GCAAAGATACACACACATTTTCCTAATTCAAGTTTCTGTAACCAATTCATAGTGTGTTGCAGAAGAAATAAAATGATCACACTTGTGATATGGTTCTTTAAAAAATGTAATTAGACAGGGGCCTGATTATGCAGCAAATCCATGTATTAATCAAATGCTGTCAATGAAAGCTGCTCAAGTACAGCAGGTGAATATTTGGACCCAGAGTCTAAATGTTACAACACTTAAATTGAAAGAATCGAACCTCTGCGCCTCCCAACAGCATTCTTGTCAATTGGTTTTATAACCAGAAACTACTTTGGTAATTAAGCAGTTGCAGTTGTTTGCACTATATTTCTTCAAACTCAGGAAATGCACTTTCAATATCTGCAAGCCTCTCTGTAAGCCCTGAATGAGTCGTGCGAAAAGCACACCCCCCGCCTCATTTTCATTTTTTATTGTAATTGTAAAAGAACCATGTAGGTGTACAAGAAAATGTAAACAGCTGCAGACCAGAACCAGTTGTCAAGAAATCTGCTTAACATCCTAGACTAAGTTACTAGTCGAAAGGGAATATCTGTTGCTGTGGATACGGTGTCAGATACCATGCATGACAAACTATTATCCTCAACAGATGCACAAACAGCACCATGACAAGGAGGAGAAAACCATGCACAGACATTTCAATATCATGTGGCTAGGAGCTATAGTACAGCGATGAGCTACGCAAAATGATTTTTTCCCCCCAAAAGTGATTAATGATTCAGACTGAATGACAAATGAGTTTCCAAGAGGTAAATGACAGGATTTTTGAAGGAGGAAAAAGTGCAGGGGAAATGTTCCACTCCTTCCCCTAAATAAATATATATTTAAAAAAAAAATCTGTGGATAAATTACACTATTGAAACAAATGCTTTGAAATGTCTTTTCCAGCTATGTAATTAAATTTTAGATAGGGAGGGGTTTCAAGAGTATTGGGGTTTTCCAAAGCACAAACCTCCAACAGCACATAATATGCAGCTTTTTGATTTCTTTTCATTTTGAAATACTCAAACGCATTTGTTTTTATTTATTTATGGGGAGTGGGCTGTTGAAGAAGATCACATATGACTGAGACTGAAGTATGTCAATAATCCTTTGGTCCCAGCAGCTGGAAGAGCTGAGAAAACCAAGCCCTCCTCCCCAAAAAAGGGAAACAGTGGTCAGGGAAGTGTCTTTTAGACATCCTGCTACCTGCTATGCATCAGAAAAGGCAAACTTTTGTTGTTATAAAATACTTTTTTTGTACAAAAGATGGGTCTTGCAAGCCATTTAGTTGCAGATCACAACAGAGACTCAGGTCAGCTGCTCAGTCTTAAGATTTTTTATAATGGAAAAGTCTAATAAGGACACAAAGTATCACAATAAGTTGTCCTTCCAAGGGCAAAGAATTACTGATGGTCTCTGTTTTACCAATGTTTAAAAAATGCAGGCAAAAAACTGAATTTGAGCTTTCATAAGCATAGTACGGCAGTGCTTCAGCTGCTGCTTCTTCCTGGATACTTCAGCAAGCTACCAACAAAGTCATGTTGATAAGAACAGCAGTACAACAGTCTGACTACAACAACGTCATAAACCATTAAAACGATGCAAACAGTGTGATCAAGCTTTTCCCAGAAGTCTTTCCAGAACAATGCCAAGAGAATAGAAACTTATCCCTCAGCTTCCTCAGTATGTCCTGACTGCTGGAGGATAGATGTTTGTGGTGTTACCGTACTTGTTCCACGGGAGATCCGGTCTTGATCTGTGTTTGCAGATAGAGAGGCCACAGAAATGGGCTGTAGCAAGCTGGATGTCATGCCAGACGAGACAGTCAGACTATGAGTAGTGCCCTTGAGTGTAAGATCCTGTGTAGGAAGGAGTGGCTTGAGGATACTAACAAGGCAGAAAGCAGAGCCGCTTTTGGGAATGAAATTCACTTTGTTCTTGTCGGGACAGTAGAAGGCTGGAATTTCATGCAATGGCTTTGGCCTAGAAAAAAAAAAAAGGGTTTATAACCAACACTGAACAATCAAAGTCACAGAAAAGAAGGGCTGGAGGTACCTCAAGAAGTCATCTACTTCAACCCCCTGCTCAAGGCAGGATCACCCTTATCTGTTAGTGTTCCGCATTTTCAGTTTTTATTTAAAAAAAGAAATCCGGGAATTTTTGGAGTTTATCTTCGAAACATAAAAACAGGGATGAAAATCAGGGTAAGAGGAAGAAAAGTGTGTGTGGGGGAGAAAATCTGTTTAAATTGGGGGGGGGAATAGCAGTGGGGGAGGAAGGCTGGGACTAGGGAAGGGGTGGGCAGGGGCATGGCACAGCCCGCCAGCCACTCCCAGGGCTGCAGCAGGGAGGAGAGCAGGGGGAGCTGTCAGTGGGTGCAGGGCATGGGTTGGGGGGCGGGGGGGGGAGCAGCAGTTCCAGCCACCATCTCCCAGCCTCCATGTGGCCACTGCCACCCCCTCACACCCCACTCTGTATACAGCCACCCCCCAGTGTCTGGCCAGAAACCTATATCTCAGGTAACCAACACAGTGGCACTTCTAGCTTACTGGCACCACGCATTTTCCAGTTCAAATCCCTGCTAATCGGCACAAGTGTTAACCCCACTCGTGCCGGTTAACAGGGATTTGAACTGGAAAACAGGTGTAAGTCAGTAATAACTGAATGACTTAAAAAAAAAACAAAACAGGGAATTTATCAGTTAAAAAAAAACAAATGGTAAAAAACCAAGAATGCTGAATACTATCTTTTTACCATCCTCAATTAGATTCAACTCACGACAAAAGCTGGCATCTTTCTGAAAAAATGTGACCAGTACATGTTGTGAAAAAATATCAACACCTATAGGGTATGGACAGATGTAACAAATGTATTAATATTAGTAATATTTGATATCAGTAACACATCCATACCTTCACAACAACATGCAGAATGCCAATTACTCAAGAGTTAAAAGGCTGTTTCAAAGCCAAGTCCTAATTCACCTTTTGTTGAATTTGGACTAACATGGGTATACAGTTCACCTATTAATTCTATTTACTGTGACTGAATTGGTACAGATTTTTTCCCCTTGTTTCCATGTGACTTAGACTGCCAAATAAACAGAGAATGAAATGGGTGTCATCTGCCACCAGCTGATCAGACAACTCTGACTCTAGCCAGGGTAAATTCACGTTCAGTTTCCTGAGGAACGATGCTACTGCTGCCAGGCACTTTGTAAACACCTTCAAAACAGACAATGGGAGTGTACTAGGAGTATATTGTCCCACTTGCAAAATTACTGTTGTAAGCAGCAGGAATAGAGGTGTAATTACAGGCCTCCTGTTCCCAAAACACAAAGACTCAAATGACCAAGACACCATGAGCATAACTTAGGGCAGAATTTAATGTAGAGAATATTTAGTGTTGCTAATGGTGCACAACCCAGAGAGAAGCAGCCATGGACAGCCGCAGCACCACAGAGGTGCAACGTAAGTCAGACAGATGTGCCTGACCCTGGGTGTAACCTAGGTATGCCTTTGAGATGCATTCTGTTTTTCAGCTATCCTAGGTGCCAAATAAACTCATAGTATAAATGAACTCATTGTTTAATACTTGAAATCAATATCATATTCTGCAATTCTGGCCCTAGTATATAAAAAAAATATATATACATCAAATACCACAAGGCATATAAACACAAGAATGATAAGGCTAAATACTATCTGATGACACCTTTACATAGAGACTATACATACATTACTAGCAAAATGAACTCAAGAAATCATGCAAGACACCAACAAACCCCTAATTTGTGACACTAATAGAGAAAAAGCAGAAACAAATCAGAAATATTGTTGGATGATACTACAGCTTCTCTGTAGTATCAAATATAATGTCCGTACAATGCATCTGTACCACAGCATAACAAAGTCTCTCTTAGTCCCCCAGCATCCCACATTGTTCCACTCTTTCCCTCCTGCCACCAACCCCCTACTTCCCAGGAGAGAGGGAAGGGGAGTGGGTAGAGTCACTGGGCACTCTGATTTCCCTATTTATGTGGGGAGCAGGGAACAGGCAGCAGACCCAAGGGATCTTGGATCCCACTCTGATGTGCCACAACAAAATACTGACAGATACCCCAGTATACACAGGGGAGTCACCCCCTTCTGCACTCAACTTAGCTTGAAAAAGGATACTGTGTCATCCAAAAACTTGCTGGAAACATCAACCCACCTCCAAGTTGGTCTAATAAGAGATATCAATTCAAACAAAAACACTGTCTGTCATATACCATTACCTGCTTTTAGACAGATATCAATTCTAGAAACACACAAAAACCCAAGGCAGAATACTTTACACTCCCTGGACATTCTACCACTGACCTCAGAGTGGTTGTCTTTAAACAAAACTTTAAAGCCCAACTTGAATGTGAAATTGCGGAAAAGAAATTACCGCGGACCGTGTTAAATGGTCTCAGAGACTGTAGTTAGTCTAGTTACATGGACTAGCTGATAACTTCAGGTGTTTATCCTTAAGCCGCCCCAGTGTGGTAACTGCTTTGTTTATGCCTACTGGATCTATTCAAACCACTTTTTGCTTCTCTCAACAGTGCCCCCCTCCTCCTGTCCCTTTCCTTTATACTTAAGTTCCTTTCTACTCAAAACCCTTTCTTTCTGCAAGTCCATTCATAGCATCTGCGAAGTAGGCTGCTCATGATGCCTCTCTGAACCAGTCTCTAAGATGCTACCTTGCCCTACCTTTCCATGATTTCAGACTAAAAAAGCACTTGAAACACTACCAATATAACCTGTGCCCATGACCATAACTGACTTCCAGACTCTATGCTGAGCTTCAGATCGTGTGTCATAGTCTAGTGTTTATATTTAGACAAAACAGCACTAAATCAGGTATTTTTCTCTAGAGAGGGATTTTCCTGTGTCTTCTTGCACTACTATAAAATATGAGCATTTCAATGAAGTGTCATCTGTTTCACTGAGGAAATCTCCAACTGTGCAGGACCAGTCCAAAGGTTATCAAAGTCAGTGAAACAAAAGGCTTCCACAGACTCCACTGGATTCTACCTCATTCCTTTTCCTGTAGGCACATGAATTTTCTTGGGCAGTAGTAGTCCAGGTGCTGTCTAAGCCTGATTATACTTGGAGGATGAGATTACAGTCCACCGTAATATAACTGAAGAACAAGTCTCCTTATACCCATGCAATTTTGCTGATGACTTACACCCATCTGAGATGTTCCCATCACCATGTAAGTTAACAATATTGTCACATTCTAAACAAATTTAATTAGCTGTTGTATATTTACTCTGTAAGAGTTCTAAGTAAGCCTCAAGATGAAAAGGGCATGTATTTTTACAAAACTTATGAGATGCAACATAGCAAAAAAATCTAAGAGAAATTAAACTCTATGTCAGATTCTCATTTTTGTAGAAAAAGATGCATGTACATAGAACCAGTTTTAGTAACCTTCCAGTGCCAAGAAGCACCACAATATATCTTTCACACCACTTTATTAGGCTTTAACATTTCCTGATGGGAACAATGATTGCTATATCATATTACTGGTTCATTTAAAACATCAGTAAGCATACCAAATAATATATCCATTTTTGAAGTAATTTACAGAATACTCACACTCCCTCAGAAAGGGAATATTGTTCAGTCAACTGCCAAGAAATCAAAATAGCAAATGTTGCACACACCCTCATTTGCAAACACAAGGCAGAGTATTATGTGTGCAGATACCTGCTACAAGGGTATGCTATTATTTTATTTGTATACACAGACTTATTTTCCATGGTCGAGTATAGATTACTTCACATACGTTTTTCTCCTACTTCCCATGTACCAGAAGACAACTTCACTTTCCTAAATACTTGGGTCTCAATGTTTTCTTTCAATTTAAACAATTAGTTCAGTTATTAAAACCATAAGTACTAACAAAGAAGTGATCAATCTTTAGAAAATACAGGCTCCTAAAGCCAACTTATTACATTAGTAACCAAGTCCTCAGTGGAATCAGCTGTACCAACTCTAATTTAATACGAACAACATTAAATATCTCTGCCTCAAAGCACCTTTTACAACTTATTACAATCAGTCAAAGTGTTGGAAATTCTATAAATTACAGATTGCCAGCACCAAAGGGCTAATATCCCAAGATTTAAAGAAAATAAACCTGCATCTTATGGTGCTAGAACTTCTATGCATCTGGACAATCTTGATACAAATATTCTCTTCTGAGCTAAGGCGCTTTTGAAGTTATAGTAAATTACCAAATGCAAAAGATATATAATCATGTGTCAGTTGATCACAGCTAAGAAACAGTGGTAGAGAAAAGCTTAAAATTAATCTTCGATTTAAAAATTCTTCTTAATCAATGAAGTTACAAGACAGAGGAAATTGGTGCATTTATTATACACCTGGTCAAAAGTTTTCATCTCGGATTTTGTCAAATGACATTATTGTTCATCTGTCCCCCTCTTTTCTTTTTTTAAATTGAGCATAGTCAATATATGAAAGACAATTAAGGTTTAATTAAATGCAGTGGGTTGGACAGCACTGTTGCACGTAAAAAACCATTCTAAATACCTCATTCTCCGTTATTTTGGAAAGAGCTGGTCTCATCCTTTCTATCTTTTTAGCAGTGTCATACACATGAACATAGAAATAACAGGTACAAAAACAAAGACAGCAGTACATCCTGAACCTGCAGAAAGACAGACTGAGCTAGTGTTCTATTATGATTATCAGGACCTTTCCTAGAAACAGACTGTGGCTTGTGAAACTACATTATATCATTCAACCACTATTTTCTTTGAGATAAGTTCAGATGTATTATAAAGGAGTGAACGGAGTGTGTGTGTATGCGTGTGTCTGTGTATGTACACGTATATACATGTACACACACACACAACCCTGCTTTGAAAAATTGTTTAATAAACAATCCTCTCTATAAAACCCTCTTTGTAAGCATGACTTAAA